CCCCTCCTCTTTACTGTCATCATCATCTTCATCGTTCTCTCTCTCATCTGTGTGTCTCTTTCCATCACTCTGCCTTTGTGCTGATGCTCGTCGCCCTCCCTCCCCCCTTCCCCCCCCGCCCCTCTCTTTGCGTCCACCACCATGAACAGTCTCCACCTGCAGCAGCTGCTTGTTTTCGGCAGGTGATTGGACGGAAACATCAGCAGGAGCTGCAGCAGCAGCAGCGGAGCAGCTGGTAAGAGAGCAAACAACCAGCATCAGGTCAGGACAGGGCTGCTGAGGCTTTAGATTCAGATTCAGAAAGTTGTTTTTTTTTATTGGAAACAATCTGAGGTGCTCATGTTCACCACATAGAGCCCGACCACACAGAGTCTGTCTAGAGAGTATAGTCTGGTGTCATGCTGTCGTCAAATCCTTCAAATGTTTAATATATGCCTGGCAATTTTAATTTGTTTTATTAAGAAAAAAAGACATTCAAATTCAATATTTCTGATGAAAGCGTTCTCAGCACTAGACTTGAATGACTGTTGATCTTGTTTGGCCTTCAGTGTTTGCCTACTCTGGAGGCATCAGCATTAAACAGAACTCAGATCTGGTTACGTCACCATCTGTTTCTAGACTTTCTCTTGTTTTTGTATTTTTCCTAAATACCAATTCATTGTTAGAACCTTGTTCGGTCTCTTTGTTTATAAAAGTGTCAGTCAATGGTTGACTGATGGGTGGACGGAGCTGAAATCGATACACAAGCTCAAGCAGTGCTGCAGGATTGGGTCTCAGCACGTAGCCCACATGTACATCCATGTGTCAGTGAAGGAGAAGCCTCTTTGAATAGACAGCACATCCAGATCATTGTTGTTCTTCATTTCTAAATCAGAGGACTGAAATTTACTTTTACACTGTTAGGAAGTTAACATTTGAACAATATTTTCATATATTTGTGAAATATGTTTCAGGGTCAGATGTTGAGCATCTGTTTTTGTTTTTTGTTTTTGTTTTTTGTTTTTTTGTGTTTTGCAGTACGTTTTTTTCACCTGTAGATGATTTGGTCACATTTAGAAAGGATGTATATTGTACTGTATATTTGTTTTGGTAATGTTTATCCAAATGTATCCTAAAATATAGCTAGGCTTTTGCTGTATTTTGCTAACACGTTTCCTATTAGCCAATGTATATATGCTCTTTTAGCTCAGTTCAAGGTATTGTTTTGGCTAACTCTTAGCTGTCCTTACTCGCTCACTATTGACCAAACCAGTTTTGGCTTATGTGTGTTTTCATTGTTAGTATTACTCCACTCTAACATTCCTTTAAGCTAGTACAACAAATATATCATTTTCGTTGATTGTTTGTGACTCACTAATAAACGTATTTCTTAGTTGTTTTTTTTTTGTGTAATCTGACATTAAATACAAAAAAAAACAAACAGTCAAATACTGGTTATCTTGTTTTGCTCAGAGAAGATTCAGTAGAAGATAAGTGTTTGCTCTCGTTTTTCAAAGTTACTAACTCCTTTGTCTGGTGGCTCTGCTGTTGCAGTCATGAGGAACTTTGTGTTCCTCCTGCTGGTGTTGACGGCGGGCTCCACCAGCAAGACTCGCAGCAGCTGGTGTGACCTGGGCTGCGACTGTCGAGGAGACCTCAAGTTCACCATCTGCTCCCGGGCTCTCTTCACTCAGCTGCCCGACAGGGTCCCGCCCAGCACTGAGCTCCTGGATCTGTCGGACAACCACATCTCCATCATACCTGAGCGCTCATTCAGCAAGAACCGCAAACTCCGAGTCCTCCTTCTACAGAACAACAACATCAGCGTTGTGGAAGATGGAGGCTTCTCCCACCTGGAGTTCCTTCAAAAGCTAGACCTAAGCTGGAACCAGATCTCCGTCCTGACCGAGGGCTTCACCCTCGGCCTGGCTTCCCTGCGTGAGTTGCTGCTTGCCCACAACCGCCTGACCATCCTGGACACTGTGAGCTTCCTACATCTGGATGGCCTCCAGAGGTTAAACCTGACCAGTAATGCCATTTCCATCATCCAGGTGAGGTCTTTCTCCTCCATGAGCACCTTACGGCAGCTCCACCTGGAGGACAATCAGCTGACATCCCTGAGGAGTGGTATCTTCTCAATGCTGCGCTCTCTGGAAGTCCTTAACCTGGCTGGAAACCACATCAGTGACATGGAGATGTCTGTTTTTAAGCCGCTCGTCAGCATGACTCTGCTCAACCTCGCCAACAACCAGCTCTCCACTCTGTCCTTCAAAACCTTCCAGAGCATTCACACCTACAGCACCCACGTACGGAAACCCCTGGAACTGTGACTGCGACCTTCAGAGACTTTTCAGGAAGCTCCGCAGCATCCAGAGGCTCTTCCTGGACGACTACTTCAATCTGACCTGCAGGACACCACCCGTCCTGCAGGACTACAGGCTGATGGACGTGGACACGGAGCTGTGCATTGCTGAAACAGTCACGGTGCTCATCATTACAGTCACGGTGGTGATCACAGTGCTGGCCGCCATGCTGATGGGTGAGAGGAAAAGGAAGAAGAAAAAGAAGAAGAAGCACTGGACGCAGCAGGGGGAGCTCTCAGATGAGTCAGACTACTGAGACACAACCTTTCCTTTAGGGTCTTTTTTTAAAAGTTCTATGCTCTTTTTTGTGTCTATTTTTAAATTCAGTATTGTCTCCAGGGTCTTTGTATTCGAGGTGAAATCCCACCTGGTTACCAGAAGTGTAGTTCCAAGTAACAGGTCTTTCTTAAGTCTTAATCTACATGAGAGGAGATGGGTTTCCTGGTTAGGTGATCTACACTCCTGGTTCTACCATTACCTCTTTTAAACATGTCCATTTTACCATTCTTTCCCCTCTACAGGAGCTGGATGCGACTTTCAGATGAGTCAGACTACCCTGACCCTGAGAACTGTAGTTCTGTAAGGTAGAAAGAGAATACAATGAACTGGTTAATCTTTCACAATCTTCTTTGTGTGCTTTAGTATTGCTTTAGTGTCTCTGTAATATAACAAAAAAATACATTTCATAAATACATTTTTATTTTAAGTATATTTTTATATAAAGCAGTGTTTGTGTGTTGCTAATGTCCCTTGTGTAACTATAAATAAAACAGAATAACGTGATACACGTGCGTGTATTGTGTGTGTGTTCGTGGTTGAAGACCGCACCGGGGCAGTTACAGTAGAGCCTATAGCGACCTCTGCTGGTTACAACCTGTTATACAAACTGTGTAGGAACAGCCTGAAGCTGCACTGTTTTTCCCCAGTGTAACGTATGGGTGTGGTTTGTTTACAGATGAGGAATCAATATCTCTGTCCTTTAGCTTTTCAGAAATCGTTCTACCTTAGTTTTTACTTTTTACATGGTGTGGTGTTTATATGTTAATAAATAAAAATGTATATAAATGCTGCTCTTAAATCCGAAAAGTTTTTTTATATATATTGTGCAAAAATGCAATGGTGTATATTATGTCAACTAATATACTTTTTAGCTTCTCTAAAACATTGTCCCGTACATTGATTTCAAATGTTCATTTAAAACTGATTTTGTTAAATGCGTTTAACGTTTCAGTTTTTTCTACTAAACCAGAACATTTGCAGAGCTTGTTTTATTCAATAGAATTACGCGGAGATTTCAGGTCTACACTTTCCACTCTTCACTAACAATTGACACAAGGTTTGTATAAGCTTTGACCACTTCGATGCAAATATAGAGTAAAAAAAAGGAATAGTCCATCCAGTTTGTGAGCTTTCTTAAAGCAAAATTGTTTTATTTGGTATTGGGTTGTTTTTCCTTAGAATGCTATTCTTTGTAGTATTTATAAATAGTACTATAATACGGATAGGAGAGGCCCAAGGTTAATTTTATATTCTAATGGCTGAAAAAAAACCGGTAAAACGTAGTATATAACTGCTTCTGTGTATAACTTTTTTTCTCGCAATATTGTTCATTTGACTAATAACTTTCTTTTAATGCATTGGCTTTTGTCACCAAGTCAATGACCGGAAGTGTATTTGTCCGGTGACGTACTATAAATGTAAAAGTTATTTACAGACAACGTAAAAGTGCTGTATAATAATTGTTATATGATGTTGTATTGTTTTTCTTGTATATGATACTATATTGTTATATTATATGCTTATATTACTGCGTATATTATTATATATACTGCACTTTTAGTGTGAAACATCAAACAGGAAGTAGGGTTATTGGTCGATGTCACTTTAGGGACAGGTGGGAGGTCCGGTTCAACGAGACTCTGTTGTTCCCTACCCAGAGAGCGGAGAGAGGCGGAGGAACTATTTAAATTTAAAATTTTGAATGAAAACCATGAAGGTTTTATTCTAAAGAAGGCGTTTTACGAAATACTGAAGAAACCACGAGGTTTTCCCCGTAAACAATGACCGAGGAAGGGAGGAAAATTTCAAGTGCGCTGTCAGTTTAATGGGAGCGGTGACCTGAGCAGGTGAGAAAATGACTGTACTTCTGTTAGTGTCCGATCTTTTTCCATTAGTTTTTGTCTTAATGTGAAATGCACTTCTTATTCATTAAACTGAGGTGCTTGTGTGTAATGGCAGACAGTACAACAGCAGAGAGTCATTTCCTGTCTCATCTATTTCGAATGGAAACAGCATTTAAGAAAAATTGTCTCGATTTTCCGCCTTTTAAAAAGTGACGTCAGTGTGTTTCGATTGAAGATAGCGTGCAGCTGACATCTACTTCCGCATTGGCGAACAAAGTGTTTTCAGAACGCGGTTCGCGGACCTACCGTGGCCGCTATTTATGAGCCAAGATGTTGGTCAAAATTTGGACTCTATTGACCACCAAGCCAGAATTTGACTTGTATTGTGAGCCCCACGTGTTTTTGTTTTTTGTTTTTGGACTCCTCACAACAACTTAACAACAACAATAATAATAATGATACCAATAATCTTTTTTCCATTCATCAGAAAGTGTATTCTGCAACACAAAAAAATGTTTGATCAAGAGGCTAAAAACACAGAACTGAAATCCTAAGTTAATTGAATTACTTTCCTCTACTTAATCTTCCTTTCACCGATGACATGAGCATTTTTACTGCACAATAGAAGAGTGATTTGTGAGCTTGCCTTACAAGAATATCACAAATTCAGTCTTTTGATTTTCTTGAAAAGAGTTTTAATTTTGTTCCTGTATTTGCAGGTTACTCCCACACACTTAACCTATTCAGTTTGAGGATTTGGTTAATTGTTCATTCCTAATTAAATGTGAATAGTTGTGTCATTATATGTGCTGTCCAGAATGTACCGCATGCTTGCATGAGGATGTCTGACGTCTTTTTTTCAGTGCCCCACCTATAAGGATGAAGCAACAGAAGATAAAGAGTTATCCCTATTAATTGTAAAAGAAAAGAAAAGGAGAAAATATAGACACAGGGCAGTGTCACTGCAATTAAAAGAACACCAATAGTTTGTAGTTACACATTAAAAGTGACATACAATACCCACATAAAATATCAATAGAATAACAACTAACTAGCATTAATACCAACGGCTCTTTCTAAAGCAGTAGCTCTTAGCACAACTATAATGAATATTCAATTGTACTCTTTGTACATTATACATTTCTTGTGTTTGCCTTTCTTTTTATATTGTGAATATTGAGCAGGAACATATAGTCCTGTGACAAGTACACGTCACAGATGGTTATAAAAGTTTTTTACTTAGCCACACCTATTTCTGCCCTAGCCACCCTTTTATTGAGGCTTAAGATAGATAACGAACACATACTTTTTTTTTTTCATTTTCTGCTTCTGTTTAATGTTAGCAACTAAGACGGTACTGTACAAGAACCTTTTAAGAAACCAAGACAGGCCAGTTGCCCTACTTTACTGGTTTGTAAATGTCTGGGATGACTATGAACGTCCATAGAGGATAGCAATGTTGAAATAATGTTTTTACATTGTCTTTGATATATGTCTAGATAATTGGATTAATAAGTTGTAACACTTGTTTGATTCGTGCACATATTTTGCCTTTCATTATAGATTCTTTATCAATTTAAAGAGATTTCTGAGCTCACTTTAAGTTGCCTTTTTGCATCAATGAAAATTTTTAAAATTTAAATAAAATTTAAAATGTTTCTCCTTGGGCTTAGTTTACGCTATGTTAAAACAAGCCATTAAAACATTCAGGCCTTACAGGAAAATGTATGTATTTTGAAACCTTAATAGTGTTTGTCACATTGATTAACCATGACATTTCCAGGCTAAGAATTGACTTACTGAATAATATACAGTATATAATTTTACATTTTAACTTTTGTCTTTTTTTCCCACTAGCTGAATTTCATCTTTTCCTCATATAACCTTTAGATACTTTATTTGAGTTTTTATTTCTTTTTAACATGGAAACTAAACTACTCAATATTTTTTAAAACTCAAACAATAAAAAAGCTGTTAATTTGACAGGAAAAACTTATGTAAAACTTATTGGTTGGTCAGTTTTGACAGCTGTTTAGACATTGACTGTCAGACAGCTGCTGACTGCAGTGGCTCAAACCTTATCAATGTGTTTTCCAGATATGCCAGCTGACGACAAGGTTGCCATCCTGACAGACGATGAGGAGGAGCAGAAGAGGAAGTATGTGCTGGCTGAGCCGTTTCCTACGCTGCCGGTGGAGCAGCAGGTGGAAACCACCGCCACACCTGAACCCACCACAGACACACAGGGAGAGCAGCTTCCACCTGTGCAGCCAGAGTCATTGAACTGCTGCAAGAGAATGTGTCTCCAGATAAACAGCCGCTTGCTCATCTCCAAAATATTTTACTTTTTCTTTTACGCCGCCTATGGCTCACTGCACCCTCTGTTGGCTGTGTACTACAAGCAACTTGGCATGTCGCCCAGTCGCAGTGGACTGCTTGTTGGCATTCGCTACTTCATTGAGTTCTGCAGCGCCCCCTTCTGGGGTGTAGTTGCTGACCGCTTTAAGAAGGGAAAAGTTGTTCTGCTCTTCTCTGTGCTCTGCTGGTTGTTCTTCAACTGTGGCATTGGTTTTGTCAAACCTGCATCAATGAAGTGTGTGGAAGTGAACACTGCTCCCACCACAACACTAATGCCTATCCCAACAACATTCGCTCAGAGCAATGAGACCCAAAACGGCAATGAGACCCAAGACGGCAACTCCACCGACTCAACTAACCACACCCGCAGTCGGCGAAGCTATCTACACTCCTCTGGATTTTACCAGGCCCTGGAGTTTTCTTCATATTACAGGCGTAAACGGGACACTGACACCAACACAACATCTCCTACATTTGAGCCTCCGAACACAACCACCACAGCCTCTCCTACGCCAAACCCAGACCATGAGATTGTCTACAACGAGGACCAGGTGGAGAACATCTTCCTCATCATCCTGCTCGTCATCATCATTGGTGAGTTTTTCAGCGCCCCAGCTGTTACGATTGTTGACACCGTCACTCTGCAGTACCTTGGCAAAGTTCGTGACCGCTACGGCCTGCAGAGGATGTGGGGCTCCCTGGGCTGGGGCCTGGCCATGCTGCTGGTGGGCATCTGGATCGACCACACGCACATCAAGGTTGATATGGAGGGTGAAGGCTGCAGTCTGCCTGAATACCACAACTACCTGATTGCCTTCATCGTCTTCAGTGTACTGATGTCCATGGCCTTCATCGTTGCCACACAGTTTTCCTTTGGAAATCTGGAAAGCTACCACCATGAGCTCCCAGAAGCAGTTGTGGACAGTGAACAGAGACCTCAATCCAGCCTGGACTCTGAGCAGCCTTCTACCAGCTCTGAACCGCCTCAGGAGTTCTACTTCACTGATCTTCTGAAGCTTCTGTGCAGCGTACGATACAGTGCTGTGCTGTTTGTCGCCTGGTTCATGGGTTTTGGCTATGGCTTCGTCTTCACCTTCCTCTACTGGCATTTGGAAGACCTGAAAGGCACCAACACGCTGTTTGGCATCTGCTCCATTTTAAGCCACGTCTCTGAGCTCGCCGCCTATTTCACCAGTCACAAGTTCATCGAGCTGGTTGGACATATCAGGTAAAAAAAGCAAAATTGAGCACTCACCTCAGTTACACAACTGAAATAACTAATAATGCAATACAAAATGTAAAGTCACAATACAGGCAATAGATTAGCCAACATTATACACATAGCATTCATGGATGTTCCTCATTCAGGAAGTTAAGAGGTAACAGGATGGATGTCAACAGGGGTGCTGTACAGGCATGGATGATTTAACTTATTGTGTTCTTTCTTCTGTAGCTTTCTTTATATTTAATGTGGAGGAAATTTAGTCACCACCTGCTGCAGCTCTGGGTTTCACACCACTTACTGTATTGCCCCAACTCTTGACCCAAACAGGAAATGGTTGCATCAGGAAGGGCATGTTTGCCTGGTGGAAAAAAACCCTAAACCAACTACCATGTGTTTTAGCTAAATGTGAACATTAGGTCAAATATTCCATTAGAAACAAGCACTGTGGGGTTAAATACAATCTGTATATTTAGTATAAAGTAGACTTTGTTATTTGCTGAAGCACATCACAAACGTTTGTTTTGTTAAACACACAGGGAGTTTCATTTCAAATGTGTCCGTTGTTATCAGTCGTCCGTTACGCTGCAGCAGCAGCTGCAGTTTCCAGCACCAGCGTCAGACTGTCAAAAAAGACAATGCTGTCATTGATGCTCAGTGTTTCTCTCAGAAGGAATTCATGGCCGGACCTCTCAGGCAGCAGGGACATTTGAGAGTGTGGTGTTAGGTGACAGACACACAAAACACACACCACCTCCCTGGTGAGTCCTGTAGAACCCCTGAGGCCATGTTTCAGGGACAGGTCATCTCCCACCCCTAATTTGAAATGCAAAACACAAAAAAAGTGCAGTACATTTTTTTGATCACTTCTGATTGCAATTACTTTAAACTTGTCAGTGTTTTAGGTGTTTTTTAGAAGGTGCTCCTAGTTTAAGGATTCACTGTCAGATGTTTGGTTGTAGTGGAAATCAGGTCCAGGTGCAAACTAATTTCAAACGACTTGGTTTCAGTTCAGTGTTTTGTCATTTTGCGCAAACACTGAAACTGTTGTGAAAATGTTTCCTGTGCAGTTATTTTTGAAGTGCTTGCCTCTGACGTGTGGAGCGTTATCTCCCTGTCTTTTGAGAAATAGCGCAGTCTAATCACTGTCACTGTGTTTGTCTTTGTTTTGAACAACAGAATCAGGATCACGTGAAAAACACAATGTGCTGCTGGGACCGTTGTATGCATGTTTAGCAGTAAAACTCCATAACTGTTCTGTTTAGAACTAGGTGAATATTCTGAAAATGCTCAACATTAATCATCAAGTTCTCTCACGTAAAGTAATCTTTCAAATATTTCTCAATGTAAGAAGTTGTATAACTTCACTCTAAAGGGCCAGAAAGGTTATTTTTTAGACTGAAATCAGAGAAAAATGGAATGGAATGGAATAAACTTGATTGTTATTGGGATGACATCAAACAGTGAACAGAACAAAAATCAACATTTCGCACAGTCGCTGGGTGTAGTTGTAGTTGAGGCTTCCTTGTTGCTCACCAACCTTAACGCTAAACCTGCAACTGCTATAAAACTGACCTGTTTGCCTCCACGTGGAAACGTGTGGTTTTCACTCTTCCTCTCTCTCTCTCTCTCTCTCTGCATGACGTGTAGCCTTACACTCGGCACACTTGACAGTGAACAATACCTACTGAGGCGTGGTGCAGTAAAGTGTACTTAATGTTGATTACTTTGCTTAGTTACTGTCAAAGGAGTACTTTGTTTAAAATACGTTATTTATTAGACCGCAAAGTACCACAGTAATTGTGGTATTTTTTTTGAACTTCTAAAATTTTATCCTGAGTCATGTAGTAGTGACCCAAACCACTCATGATTTGTTACAGTAGTACTAAATGGTGGTTTTGTTTACTGTATAAATGCCTGCAGATGGCGCTATAGACACAGTGAAAATGTACATTTTCCATGGGTTGAGTGCACTAGTATAACATTACTATTCAACATATTCAGTTCTGTCTAGGGGTCAACAATGTGGTACCCTAGCGTACCCTAGGCTGCCATAGAGTATGTTCTAAAAAATTAAACTTGTCAACAAGATGGTCTAAAAATGTAATCTCACTGTGTTGCTGTTGTTTTTGAGTCAGTTATACTTGCAGTTCAGTTAGGTGCAACTATACCGCGTCCCAGAACTTCAAGAAGCCGCATTATTTTGATATTATTACATTATTCAGTACTCTAGCTCTTTGTATTACTCAGTACCATGAGTTAGCTCTCTGTTTTAAAAAGTTTGCTGAGCCCTGGTCTAATCAAATTCATAAACTTCGGTGACTGACTGTCCTCTGGATAAATGTCAGGTGGTGAACATGTATTGCTCACCTTCAATGTGAAACAAGAGCTTCTCCGCTATGTGGAGCTGCACACCTTCAAAAACCAAGTACTTGCAGAATAACAACTCAAAATACAGCAATTTATCTCCACTATTGCTTTGTCTATTTTTTTTTTTCATTTAGAAAAGATATAATCCCGTTTGGATTGGCCCTTTATTTATTGAGCTCTCACATCAGCAGCACAGACAGTGTTCTTCATAGGAGCATATGTACATTTGGATGAACAAACACTGAAATCCTGTCAAGTGATGAGCCATAATCAGGTGACCCACCTGAGGGTGTGGCTTGGTTCACATTCAGGTTTGTCTGCTCTCTGTTCAGTGTCAGCTTAACTTGTTTGTCACACAACCAATAGAGGTCTAAAATAAACATGTCTGTCCTTGGGAACAAATCCACAAAAACCAAAAACAAAGGCTTTGATCTAACATTGTTGCAATTAAAAAGAAATGGAGACCGGTTTGATTTAGGTGCCTGACATGAAGCAAATATTTACATATATGTCTGGTTTTAAAGTTTTTACTCCTTCTGATCTTGCCCTCTCAGAGTGCTGTACATCGGTCTGGCTTGCAACACGGCTCGGTATTTGTACATCTCCTACTTGGAGAATGCCTGGATCGTGCTGCCAATGGAGGTCCTTCAAGGTAACGACCATTCATTTGTCCGTCAAAGCAGGCGACAGGGCAGTAATCTGCTGTTTGTTTTAGCGGGACTCTTATCAGACGGACTTCTTCCTCTGGATCGTAGGAGGCGGCCGAAGAACACTAATGAAGGAAGCTTAGGAAAGAGGGAAAAAAATGTTCATGTTCAGGATGGGAGTTAAGTAATTCAAACAGTGCAGTGAGCCAGCTTAAGTCTATTTTTAACACTGAGAAGAAAACATATTGACATTCAAATTTAACCCTCAGGCCAGAGTCTACTACACCTAAATTACCCAGCTAACACTGCAAACAAATGGATAATAAGTTATCCAACCACTAGTATATTTTTGAGAGTTTTTTTTTAGGATATTCTCAAATTCTTTTTAAGTTGAGCAAGTTTTTTTTTTAACACAAAAGTTCTGAAAATAATGGCAAAGAGTCAGGTTTAATAACCCCTGATGTTTAATGTGATTTGTCTCTCTAAAGTATTTGTTCAAAAACTTTCCTACCAGTTCCTATCTCTCCCACAAAACCCATGTGTTTGGTACCTGTGGTTCAGTCTTCAGTGGTAACACAGGTGTCCCTGGCCTTTGTATAGTCAGTGTCAGAAAACATTTAGTAATGCGGTAACGCCTCACAGAGTAAACATGTTAATCCCAATGTCAGCTGGAGTGCGAAACTGAAATATAAGTAAACACTTTACATTTTAGACATAAGTAAATAATACCATCTACTAAGTCACTGTTCAAATATGTGACAAATCAGTAGATATCAATTTAATATGTGCTTACATTCGATTTGTCAAAATCAGTTGGATCAGTTTCAGTTTAGAGTGTTTGACTTTCTTCTTCTTTCGGCCGTGCCCTTCAGCTGATCGTCTGCCACCGACCATCTCTCCTCACTAACTTTCTTTCTTCAAACTGCTCCACCTTAACTGTCCCTCTGATCTGCTCTGTTCTGTTCATCCTGGTCTCTTCATCTCTGCTCCATATCTTCCTCCAACTTAGCCTTTTGTCTGTTACACTTTGTCTTTGAACCATACGTCATAGCAGGTCTCACTACTGGCTTTGACACGTTCCATTTCAACTTCTCTGTTACTCTTTTGTCACAAATCACCTGACACTGGTCTCCATCCACTCCACTCTGACTGCGCCCTTTTCTTCACCTCTTTCATCTACAGTCCATTATTAGCTCCTCTACTCATTACTCACTTCTACCACACTCACCTTTATTCTCCCACTCTTGGCCAGCTGATATATTCTGTGTCACTACAAATCAAACCTCCACATCTCCAGGTTTGCGTCATAAAGGAAAATAAATTTACTGCCATTATATTGTGTGCAAAATCCCTTAATTTAGATGGAGGCAGAGACTACATTAAAAGTTTCTATTCCAAAAACAAACAATATTTATGAAGGCTTTGTCTTTTCTGGTGGCACATCATTATCTGACCTGCAGTTCTCCAGTTAGACATTAGGAGAATGTTTCAGGGGAAACTGGTTACAACTGGTTAATGCCTTAGAAGATTTGTTTGCAAAACATTTGTTTTTCCAACTGTGACACGTTTCTTATCCACACATCCCTCAGGCATCACCCACGCGTCTGTTTGGGCTGCATGCATCTCCTTCCTCAGTGCTGCAGTGCCCCCAGCACTGAGGACGTCAGCACAGGGAATCCTCCAGGGCCTTCACCTTGGTCTGGGCCGAGGTTGTGGGGCTATGGTGGGAGGAGTCTTCGTCAATTTCTTTGGTAGGATACGTTATAAACCACGTTATAAACCAGCCACTGTCACACTGATACGGCTGGTGTTTCAGAGATAATATTTAACACCGTCTTTATGTTGCTCTGCAGGTGTGGCAGAGACCTTCAGAGGAATAGGAATGGCTTCTCTTGTCATCCTCCTCATCTTCGCCTTTATCCAGTTTTTGACCACAGAGACAGAAGAAAAAGGTTACAAAAATCTATTTAATTTTCCACAACTAACATTTAAATTGACAACTTCAATAATCAGTCGTGACATATTTGTCCCTATTTACGGCATGTCATACAAAGTTCAGTTGAGTATTTGGGCCTAGCTACAGGATTGGACCAGCTATAGTTGTTTCCTTTGATGGTCGTTCTGGAAATTTAAAATTAAGCCCTTAATCCCTATTTATGGATGGAGAGAACTCCTTTTTTCCTCACTTTTTAAAAAAAATTAAAAAACAAAAAAAAAATCTGGACGAACGTAAACCACCAGGGGGCAGCAGCCGGTCTGAATACAAAAAGGCCACATTCATTCATTTAATTTATTTATTCAGTCTTTTTGGGGGGTTTTCTTCACAGAGGACCAAATGTTAGCAGAAAACATCCCAGTGCCGTCCAGCCCCGTCCCCATCGCTACCATCGACCTGGTACCAGGCCCAACAGCAGCTGGTAGCCTAGCCCCAAACCTCCAGGCAGGAGCTCCACCCTTCAGGAAGACTAAGCACCAGGAGGATCAGGAGGATTCCACCCAGCCTGCCTGGATGCTCTCTGGCTCCCCCTGGGTCACTTTCGCCTTTGCCATCTGCCAAATCAAAGAGATGATGAAGCTGTTGAAATCAAGCAGACCACAGGAGACTCGCCCCCTACAGGTGAACGAAGATGACTGTAGCAATTGAAGTGTTTTTTTGTTTTTTTAAAAACACTTTCAAAGAAATTTTGAGCTCTTCTTCCTAATTTTTTCATAATTTATTTAAATTAAATGAAAGTTAAATGTTGACAGAAGTTCTTCTCTGGATATTTCTGTCACAGAAAAATACCACAAAAAAAAAAAAAAACTAATTTAAAATTAAATTACCTTTGGTCCCAGATCTTTAAACATGCACTGTGTACGAATAAGGTAGAAATACATTTGTATGAATTTTTTACAAACGCCATCTCCAGGAAAGTTGATACAATTGTCCATACAAAGAAACTATTAATCAATTATCTAGTAGACTAGAATATGTTTAGTGGACTTGCCTGCCTGCAGTCCAGATTAAAAAGGTCAATCAGACAACGGTGGCCCTGACAATTGAACAGCTCAAGTCATTCATGTGATATAGATTGGCAAAAGAAACCATCAACCTACAAAAACTGTAAGAAGATCGCAAATAAATAAATGTGTTTGCCCAAAGTTTTACATATGTTTCTGTAATTGATATTTACAATTAGTTTACAGACAACAATTTTTTTTGTTCTTTTGTCTGATGAATAAAAATGTTTATTATTATTATATTACAAAATACAGATTTTTATCATGTCAACACTAGTTGTATCAACTTTTCTGAAAGTGGTGACAGTAGTAGAAGGAGTTGTAGTAGTAGTAGTTGAAGTAGTAGTAGTTGCTAAATCCTATACAGTGTTCATTTACCCCTGACACTTCAGGCTCTTGTTGCCTCTGGTGTATTGTCTGGACGCCTAGGGTCGCTGACGTAACAACAGCAGCAGCAGCAGCAGCTGTTGTCAGAGGCTGATTATTGATACAGTCATGTCTTTGGAGTCCGTCTGCTGAGTGTCATGACTGAGGCAAATGCATCATCTTTTTATTTTATTAATAACCCAATTCTTCTGGTGCTTTCTCTTTTTATCCATCTGCCCACACACACACACACACACACACACACACACACTGAAGAGAGGTGAGACGTCTTTTTGCGCAAAAGGTAGATGGAAAACTACCATGTGTGTTCTGCAGGGGGCCGTCCGGGGCTTCCTGTCTGCATGTGCGTGTGGTATGTGGGCGTGTAAGTGCATGTGAACGTCCGTGCCTTTGTGAGAAAACTCCCACACCTTCAGCTATGACGTCTTGTCAGGTGCATGCACGCATGGACGGATGGTGACGTCAGTCCCCTCCCTCCCCGCTCCCTGACTCCACCCTTACGTGACGATGATGATTATTCACTTTTAAACAATAAAACAGGAATCTGAGAATGTGGCCTTCAAGCAAACGTCTGGATCTTGTAAACCGATTTGACACGGTGCTGATAAAACCTCTCTCGTCACCTCTGCTGTTTCTAAGCAGAGCAGTGATTAGCAGTGATTGTCTCATTTTCACCTCCTGTGCACATGCTTCAGCTAATCACTAATATGCTTAGTGTTACTGATCCAGGTAAGGATGGCGAAGCGCTGCACCTCTGTGCTGATAAAGTCAGAACAGCTGCAGACATGCACCTCGTCATGGCACTGCTCCTGTGTCTGTGTGCTTTTTCCTTGTTCAGAAAAATCGATCTCTGTCATGTCAAACAGACCAGGTAAAAACAACAACACCGTGACACAGTCATTAAAAGTGCCACACTACACCTGAGCCAGTTGAAGCTACGATGACATATATACACCTTACGCGTGTGATGTTAATCTTTGTGATTGTAAATGTTGATTTTCCCAAAAGAAAGGGAAAATCTCCATTTAAATTTTGGAATCATTTATCATTTATGGCTCTGTGAAAATTGGGTGGAGATGTTTGGGTTTTTTTATATCAGTTGGATGTGTTGCATGAGTGAGTTGTTTGTTTGAGAGCTTCTGTTTTTGACCTGTTGTTTTTGCTCCAAATGCCTTTCTGCTGTCACTGTCTGTGCTCTGGTGACTTTGAGTCCCCATCATTCTGTTCCACTGAATTCCACATCCGAGTATGTGTTCAGTGTAAAGCTCGTGGCACGTTGACTCAGAGATTATAATATTTCAGCCAACTGTCAAATATGAGAGGAATTTTCTAATATTAAAAAGTCAAGTAGTAGTAGTAGTAACAAAATGATGTTTACCAAATATTAATTAAACAAATTGATTTTTTTTTAGTTAATTGCCAACGGACAAAAACTTTTATAAAAAAACAAAGGGTGTTCATTAAACAACGGCCACAGAATATAAATTTGTACATCAGTTAAATTTCAATGTAAACATTCCTTTAGCAATTCATTTTTTTATGATTCTCCTGAAGTTTCCTTTTTGCCACACAGTAACAGTCTGTATGTGTTTGTTTCTTATTTGTTTGTGGGGGTTTTTTGCACAATAATTCCCTGTCAGCGAGACTCACTTGTTTCTCTCTCTTTGTCTCCAGATACTTAGCGATAAGGCGTCGACCATTAGTGAAACAGGGATGTCAAATTCAGGTGACACCGACAACACAGATCCAGCACCAGTTACCTCACAACCACCCACACAGCCAGACACCACCCAAACCAACACCTCCCAAACCGATGAAGAGCAAACACACCCACCCACAGACAGCGAGGAGCCGTCAGAAGGAGCGGGTGTTGTGGCAGAGAACACAGACTGACGTTAGCTTTAGAAACTGTTTCTGTTAGCCCTTCAAAACTGAAGCCAAGGTTCAGTGTTATGACCCTTTAACACACTGATGCATATTTAACTTCATCGCAAAAGGAGGCAGGAGTCCCTGAACGAGTGGGGAAATATAAAAAATAAAAAACACATATATGTATATTAGCTTTTAACTGGGTTGTTTCTGTGGGAACTTTTTTGAGTATTTAAAATTATTATAATTGTTGTTTTTTTGTAGCATCATGTCCTTTCAGGGGGTAAACAAATCCAACCCTCGGCGACGTGCACTATGTTCCCCGTGACGTTTGTCAGCCGTGGATGAGAAGGAAGGAAAACTCCTCATGTGCCTTTTTAAGTTATTTTTCAGTTTATTTATTGGAATTAGTAAAGGAACTCTGACAGAGTGGATAATTCTTTGTTTTGTACCAGGCGTAGGACGTTTTAATCGTTGAATTCAGCTATTGCAGAGCACAAAATGAGCGTCACCTTCATTTGCATCGGTGGATCAAGGTTTTAACTTAAACACGTTGTAATGGAGAGGTTCCCAACGTGACCAGGTTGACACAGTGTTGACAGTTTGAATGAAGTATAGAGTGTTGTTATGAATCATTAGCTCCTCTCTAACCTCTAACTGCTCCTGATCACAGCTAACCCCGCTAACCTGGTGAGTTAAAGTAACAGCCACAAAAAGATAAGAAGTCCTTTTCAAAATTCAAAAGAGAGAGAGCGATGCATTCAGTGTCCCCGGATGGAGCCAAACCTCACACAGCTTAACAAATTACAGTTCATTCAAATACAAATACAAATGGGACAAAGCTTTATCTATTACAGGTGTTTTAGGCTGATCCCAGACTCATGAAGTAACAAGTTCACACTGTTGTTGAGGTGAAGTAAAAAGATAAGATTTAGTAAGAAAATGTCGGTTTCATTCCCTCTGAGGTAACTGGCTCACCTGAGCCGCACAAAATATTTAAAAGAAATAAAATAAATACACTGCTGTGCAAATATCCTAGGCTTATATAGAAGTACAGGTGGTGTATTGTGTGTTTGCCTGCTGCTAAAACTGTGGACATTTCTTAGCTGATTGACACAATCTTACATTATTCTCTACCTGCAGGAGACCTTAAAGTTGTGGCTCAACCTGTGGCTCTTTGCTGCACTCTTGGTCTTGTCACACAGTGTGACATGAACCTGTCTTCAACCAACTCAGTTTTATTGTTCCTCACGCTGATGATTCATTTTTTGCCAATAACAACATTAGGAAAAATCCAACTAAAAAGATGTCCATTAATTATACTCCTGACCATGATCTTATATATTCTTTCTGCTCCTTTGCTTTTTGTACCAACCTTTGGATGGATTTAAAACAACAAATAACACAGTTTCTATTATTATACACATTTGGTGGAAACATCCGGAAACTCTGTGGATAAACTCTTTAAACTGATACAGGTGGAGGCATTGTTACCTCACACCATTTTCTTCACCACTGCCTGCAAACCTTTGCACAGTGCTGTAGTCTCATGATGAGACATTGTGAAACTGATTGATTGTTCCACTCTTGTCTAACTTTAAAATGTTTGCCAGCACTCGTGCAGTAATTGCAGCCTTGAAGAGAGGCCACACACCCGTACTGTCAAAGAAACCTGCACTGCTACATTTGACTTTGTTCGTCTCATTAAGCAGATGCCTGGAGACAATAGACTCTGTGTAGGAAATGGGTGAAACAACAGAGGGGGAAAGTTCTGTCCACAGGTGAGGACACTGTCGTCACGTTTCACTGAGGAATAATAAATACTAAGAAGGAGAATAAATGTTGTGCAGCACAAATGTACATCGCCACCTTGTACGGTAGAAATATATATATAACGCTTTAGCGAAAACCTGCTTCTAATAAGTGAATCATTTTGTGTGCCTCGTATTTCAGTGTTTAACCATATTTCTCCTTGGTGCTGGGTTTGGGAACCTCTGTCATTTTTCAAAAATGAATAAAACAGTGTTGTACAGAAGCTAAAAAAAACCCCCAAAACTAGTTCATGTTTCCAACAGAGTTACACATTCCCACGTATTTACTGTATGTCCCTGATGAGCACTCAGAGAGGCTGCAGGTGAAGAAGTGCCTCGTCTGGACCAAATAAAAGCATTTTCGTCTTTCACTTTTGTCTACACCTCATTTTTACAAGCAGTAGAATTGTTAAAGTAACAGATTTGCTCGTCCTGAGGGGATTTTAAATAAACTGCCAAAAGCAAACACATTAAATCGGCAGTCTCTCACTCCCTCCCAGGACACTGGGTTTTAGGAATCATTCATGACTGAAGGAACTGTTTTATTTGAATTAAAATATAATAAATATATCAAACACCAAATTTGTACTGTCCTAAATATAACCATTTTTTATCAAAGAAGTGCTGTTTGCCATTTTTTAAACTCTCAGGTAACTCTTTTTTCTTTTTAGCCTAGCTTTCACCTGGTGTTTCTAACTTTTTCCAACAGCTGTCTGTTTACTTTTGTCTGCCTTTTTTGTTGTATTTATTTTGGTGATTATAAGGCTATATGCTGCCAATTTGTATTGTTTTAATGGTCAAAATGTCAATTTTGGTTTTGGTTTTTATAGGCTAATTGCTAAGCTAACCATGATTGATGTTTCCTCGAAATCTTAGCTAATCGTTTAGCTAATCTTAACCAATTCGTTTCCGAACGTTGCGATGTACAGTGTGTGCTAACTGTGTTTCAACTATTTGTGCTTTCAACAACCTGCAGCTCCTATATCATTTTGTCAAAGTTACAGTATTATTATATATTATACGATATATAGTATGATATATATTATATTGTCTATTGTTGTTGTGGTGTTTGATCAAATGTGTAAAGAGAAAGGCAAAAATGTTGATTTTTTTTTTCATCCTTCCTTGTTACTGCTGATGGTTTGACGAATATGCTGTAGTAAAAAAGCAGCCACTTGATGGCAGTAGCGTTACGAGAATGTTACGAGTGACCAAGACTGGTGTTGGTGTTCAGTGGGACTGTGTGTGAGCGTGTGATGTGAGACAGAGTGGAAGGTTATTGAGGTCATGGTTTGCCTGCTACTGATGGGTGTGTGTGTGGGAGGACAGTAATACGGTTCCTTTATAAAAGTGGTCTTGTGCTGTTGTAAAATATAAATAAATGAAAAATTAAGAGGATAAAATCAGAAAGGTCTGGGAACATTGTGCCAGCCTCAACGTCTCCTCTCCTTTTAATGGCTGCAGACACTGTTTTTGTCTTTGCTAATCTTCAATAATAAGCTTTGTTCTGGTGCCACAACAGGGATTTGACAGAAAAGGCAAAGTCGGAATGTTTTATTCTCTAATATGTCTTGGAAAATATGAGGAGAATGACTACAACACTGACTCACAGTTATGTCTGTCGAGGAGAACAAAGATCGGAGCACGATCATTTTCTTCATCGCTGGTTACAGACGTTTGCTTGTCGATGTTACTAGGACGTTTGTTTCTTTGTCGATGATTGTGTTCATGTCACGTCTGGTATTGCTCAAGTCAACTTAGATATAAGTGTCACTTTTTTTTTTAAAAAAAGGAGTCAATCCAACAATTGTTACAGTCTGATTACAGTATGATCCAGGACAAGTCTTCACAGAATGAATTTACATGTTGGTGATTTTGGATCTGCTCCTTCTTTCAGGGGAATTTGATCTGATTTGATGATCTTATGGTCTGGTGTTTGTTGGAGAGATGTTGGAGAATCAAACGACACATTATATGAAGATGCTGATTGGCTGAGACCTTTCTGTCTCTTCATGACACACTCCTTCATTGTCAGCCTTATGTGTCCCTGTCAATCTCTTTGCTAAATATTGTTCTACGTCTCATTGTCTTCTTTATATACTGTATGTCGTGGGTCAAACTCCCCTGATGGTTTGGAACCCTCCTAGTGTCTGGTTATATTTTCCAAGGTTGAAGCTAATAGCACTGCATGATATGTTTGAGGGGTCAGTATGTCTGAGCTGCTGGCCCAAGTTTCCTTGGTTAACTCCTTGGTCTATTATTTTCAGCTCTGCTTGTTTTCTTGAGCTGGCTCGTGCTACTGCGTAGCTGAAATCCCAGTTCATCAAACTAATTAATAAATCTGTTCCTGAACGAGGTGCTGTCACAGTGTTAGATCACATAGTGATTTGGCAGAGTTTTAAAGAGGATCCCCTGGGATGCAGAGCAGGCAGAAATTCTACCACTGCACCACTCTAACCTAAGTACCAGAAATATTGCAGTATTTACACTGGCAAGTCGGTTCCATCTATTTACTGCAGTCCACCAGAAAGTTGGTTTTAGTTACTGCTGGTTTTCTTCCCCACTCTTGCTGCTGTTGCTGACGGTGCTGTGGTTTAAAGATGACCTTGCTTTGTTAAATATTGTTAGTTGGAATACTGTTAACAGCAAAAGCTAGTGTGTGGGATTTATTGCATTTCTTTGGAGTCGAAACCCGAACAAGTGTTCATTAAATCTTACAACTTTAATTGTGTTCTGTTGGAGGCAACATTATAATATTTTTTATTTGCTTGAAAAAAGAGACATTTGTTGTCTTCTGCTGCTGCAGCACACAGTAATCTTACAATAGCTGCTGTTGGATTTGATCACAAAGTCATTATTTATTTGGTTAAATAACATCATTCACTAAAATCATCTTCATTTGCACCATATGGATTTGTTTATTTGTGTATTCCACCAGATGGGTTTTATTTGTTGAGTTGATATCATGATAGAATCCAATAGACAAAATAGTTGATTGATCACACCCTCAGTCTCAGCTGCTTGGTGAATCACATCAACGCCATGGGACAATATCAAACAAGTTCAAATACTTTAATTTCCACTGACGATTGTTTCATATTACATCTTAGTCAAATTTCAATAGAAAAAAACCCCTCACTGATTTCCAATCAGTCAATAGGCGATACCCTGGGGTGTTCCTCAGGGTATCGCCCTCGGGCTCCTTACATTCTAAATAGAAAGGGCTAAGTCGACACTGACACAGTTCAAACTGTGACAAGAAACTAATCTGCGACAGAAGAGTTCCTGCTTTATTTAGAAAGATATAAAGAATCCCAACCACTCAAGTCGAAAACTCCACAAAACGTAGATGTTCCGTCCATAGATTGTTAGAAAACTCCTGGACAGGCCTGTTTTAATGCTGTTCAAACTACTTTTGCAATGCAATGTAATGCAAACTTTATCAAAAATAAATCTGGTCTAAGTGACGTCTGGTCTGAGTGTGGCTCAGGCTAGCCAACGACTACACTTTGACTAATTCCATGTCGGCTCCTCAATAAACAACCACACTCAAGGAATGTCTCCTGTTGCGCCGTATACCTTTATATTTCACAGTGTGCCGCCACAGTGATGTGTTTTAAAATATCCTAAGCACATTACAAGCGTGTTGTGTGCGGCATTATGTTCTTGTAATCACATTTGGAATGTGACATGCATCATTATCAAGGGAGCAAATTAACATTTCCATCCAAAGGCCACAATGGTTGATGCCTTCCAATGGTTGAATCCTTCATAGTCGCTGCAGCCAAGAGTGGAGCCGAGCCATCACAGCACAGAGGGAAGCCTCTGATGGCTTTCTTACATCTTGCTAATTTTCTTCTTCAGACATAGATGCACAATATATCTGACTATTTTTCTATTTTAAACTGATTAATTTCAAGCAATCATGGCTGGTGAGTAACAGAGATTTAGAATGCGAACAGTAAAATAATTCACAGTACATTAGTGTGACTTTGTTTAAAACCACTGAATAACAAATTTGAATGTAGCATCAAACTATAACTTCCATTCTGTCATATGTAATCTGGTGCAAAAATATATACTGTATATAAACAATGGAACCAAACACAATGACAGCCAAAAGAAAAAACATATTTAATGTCATTTTTGAACGCAGCATTAGAAAACATTGGAGAGCTTTTAAACATGAACAGAAGAGTTCCAACAAGAACAAACCAGTTCTAGAAAAACAACCAGGACCTCAGGCTCAACATCTGGCAGCTTTTGGTAAAAATCAAGACGTCTGTCAAGAAACCAGCTGGGCAGCAGCAGCTTTTAAAAAACCAGGATCTGACAAGGTCTCAACAAAAAACAAGAAGTCAAGAAGAAGATATCAAAGCTGTTTCCAGCAGCTCTACAAAACATCCAATAAGAACCAGGAATTGCATTTGATTTCCTTCAAATCATTCTGGAAAAGCAGGAAGAACTTCCATGAATATCTGTAGGATTTAATAAAAGTCACGAGGACGTCTATCAAGACCACGGCTCAGTGACTGGCAGCACAAAAAGATGTGGAGACGGCAAGAGACAAAGTGCAGTGAGAACCTGGCTCAGTATCTGGCAGTTCTAACAAGAGTCTGGCCGGGCCAGGCAGTGTGTGTAATTCCTTCCAAACTGGTCCACGAAACCAGCAGTAAGATCCAGTTAAAGAACCTGGTGGGTTCAGAAGAAGCCCAGCCAGAGCCTGGCCCGGTGCCTGACACGTCCCCTGAAAGTTTTCCCAAAAGTCTTAACTATTCTGACATTTCGTAACATGTAGAGGCGACGTCCAGTAAGAACCTGGCTCAGTTTCTGGCAGCTTTACAGAACATCCAACACGGAGCAGGCACAGTATTTGGCAGCCTCAGAAATTCAATTCTAATGATCCGTGTAGACAAACTCAAACAGTACCTGGTACCAGTTGTGGTTCCAGTCTGTGTGAGTACCAATGCTCACACATTTCTGATGTAGCTTTTTTTTTCATCTTACATAATGTAAAAATGTACCTTGTGAGTTTCACTGACATCAATAATGAGGCAAAGCTCTGATTTGTTTACGTCTGTAAATGACTCAGACACACATGTACAGAGCAGACTGAGCTCACAGCTTCAATAAGAATCTATAGGAGCGGGAAGTCTGAGCTCAGAGCTGTACTGTTATGATGCTGCTAACGATGGTTGGTGATGATGATAACACTGAGATGTGAAGACACAAGTGATGTTTCACTACGTCTACTAATTGCGACAGAATACCCGACAGTCTACAGACGCTCCGACAGCCCTGACCTTTACCACTGTCTCATCATGGACGAGAACAGAGTGTTTCAGCTCACACTGCTGCTGTCAGTAGAATT